CTGCATCAGCAGGCGGACTCTCAACCACTACGCCACCAGGGAAGCCCTATTGCTTGTACTTTTGATGTCATATCTAACAATTCACCACAAAATCCAAGATCATGAAAATTTACCCCTGTGTTTTCTTGTAAGAGTTTTATGGTTTTAGCTGTTATATTTAGGGCATTGGTCCATTTTTAGTTAGTGTTTGTATATGATGGGAGATAGGGTTCCAAACGTCATTCTTTTACTTGTGGAAATCAGCTGTTCCAGCATCATTTGTTGAAGAGAGTATTCTCTCACTGTTGAATGGACTTGGCATCCTTGTAAAAAAAAAATCAATTGACTATTGGCTATCAATGTATGAGTTTATTTCTGTACTCTCAGTTTTATTCCATTGGTTTAAATGTCTGTCCTTATGTCAACACCTCCGTTTTGATTACTGTAGCTTTATAGTAAGTTTTGAAATTGGAAAGTGTGAGTCTTATAACTTTGTGTTGTTCTTTCTTCAAGATTGTTTTGGCTCTTCAGGGTCTCTTGTAACTGCATATGAATTTGAGGATTGGCTTTCCTATTTCTGTTAAAAAGAAAAAGTTGTTGGAATTTTGATAGAGATTGAATTGAATCTATAGATTGCTTTGAGTAGTATTGACAGTTTAGCAATATTAATTATTCTTAATGGGTGTTCTGAGACCAGTCCCAGTGTGGAGGGGCTTTTCCACACCAACAAGCACTTCTCTGACACCAGCTGGGTGTCCTACAATTCAACTCAATTCTGACACTGTCTACCCAGTGATAGCGTCAGATTCAACAGGTTGAGGGCTCTTCAAAACTGTACTGCTTTCAGTTTCCCCACCCTCCCCCACCCCTTAACTTCAGATGCCAGTTGCAAGTTCATGATATTACCTGTGCTTCTAGTTGACTAGCTGTAGATTGGAGGTTCCAAGGACCCTCTCCTTGGCCTTCAGACACCAGTTAAATTCCAGGTTGTTACCGGTACTTCTTACCACCTGACTATAAATCAGAAGTTCCCATGACCCCCTTGTCAGGTTCAGTTAGTTTGCGAGGGTGGCTCACAGTACTCAGAAAAATATATTACTTACTAGATTACTGGTTTATTATAAAAGGATGTAATTCAGGAATAGCCAGAGGAAATAGATACAATAAGGCAAGGCATGGGGGAGGGGCGTGGAACTTCTGTGCCCTTTCGAGGCACCCCCTCCTCCTGAATATCCATGTGTTCACCAACCCAGAAACTTTCTGAACCCCATTTTTCTTTTTTGGTTTTTATGGAGCCTTGATTACACAGGCATGATTGATGAAACCATTGACCACTGGCAATTGATCCAACTTCTAGCCCCCCTCTTCTCCCCAGAGGTCAGAGGTGTGGGACTGAAAGTTCCAACCCTCTGATCACTTGGTTGGCTCCTGGCAACTAGCTCCCATCCCTAGGTGCTACCTCAAAGTCACCTCATTAACATAATAAAAGACCCTTATCACTCTCTTCACTTTGGAAATTCCAAGGGTTTTAGGAGCTCTGTGCCAGAAGTGGGGATGAAGACCAAATGTATATTTATTATAAATCACAATATCACTTTTCCTATCTATGAATATGGGATGTCTTTCCATTTTTAGGTCTTTTTAAACTTTTTCAGTAATGTTTTGTAGTTTTCAGTATATAGACCATTCATTTCCTTTGTTAAATTTATTCCTAGGTATTTTGTTCTTTTAGATGCTATTGTAAATGGAATTGATTTCTTAATTTCCTTTCTGGATTATTCATTGCTGTTGTATAGAAACAACCGATTTTTTGTATTGATAATACCACCAAAGTATTACATTATTAGGAAGAAATTTAACAAAAGTTGTGCAAGACCTGTATACCAAAAACTACAAAACATTGCTGAGAGAAATTTAGGAAGACCTAAGTACTAAGTAAATAGAGAGATTTGAAGTGTTCATGAATCAAAAGATTCAGTATTGTTAAGATGTTATTTTTTCCTTAATTGATCTATTAATTTACTGCAGTCTTACTTAAAATCCCAGTAAACTTATTTTTCATAGAAGTTGACCAGGTAATTTTAAAGTATATGTGGAGGGCTTCCCTGGTGGCGCAGTGGTTAAGAATCTGCCTGCCAGTGCAAGGGACACGGGTTTGAGCCCTGGTCTGGGAAGACCCCACCTGCCGCAGAGCAACTAAGCCCATTCACAACTACTGAGCCTGTGCTCTAGAGCCTGCGCACCACAACTACCAAAGCCCGCATGCCTAGAGCCCATGCCCTGCAACAAGATAAGCCACTGCAATGAGAAGCCTGCGCACCACAATGAAGAGTGGTCCGCACGTAGCAAAGAAGACCCAATGCAGCCAAAAATAAAATAAATAAATAAATAAATAAATAAAATATATGTGGAAATATAAATGCTACATTAGCTAAGAAAATTTGGAAAAAGAAAAAGTTTGAGGACTTACATAACCTGCTTTCAAAACTTAATATAGAGCTAGAGTTATCAAGACAATATGCTATGAGCAGAAAGAAAGGCATGTTTACCAATGCAACAGATTAGTAAGAATAGAAATATATCTATAAACAACTGATTTTTGACAAAGATGTCAAGGCAATTCAGTGAGAGAAGGATAATCTTTTAACAAACGGTGCTGGATGAAATTGATATCCAACTGCCAAACAACAAACAGTCCCTTACTTCACATCTTATAAATAAATTAACCTCAAATGGATAATATACCTAAAAATAAGAGTTAAAACTATAAAATTTCTCTAAGAAAATGTAGTAGAAAATTGCAGTGACCTTAGGATAGGCAAAGATTCCTTAAAGAGGGCACAAAAAGCACAAATTGTAAAAGTTTAAAATTGATGATTTTGAAATGATGCTCAGCATTGCTAATCATCAGGAAAATGGAAATCAAAACCACACTGAGATATCACCTAACACCAGTTAGGGTGGCCATCATCAAAAAGTGAAAAGATAACTTGCTGTTGAGGATGTGGAGAAAAGGGAACCCTTGTGCACTGTTGGTAGGACTGTAAATTGATACAGCTCTTATGAAAAATAATATGGAGGTTTCTCAAAAAATTAGTAATAGAACTTACATGTCATTCAGCAGTTCCACTTTTGGATATGTATCTGAAAGAAATAAAATCAGCATCTTGAAGAGACACGTGCATTCCCATCTTTACTGCAGCGATATTCACAGTAGCCAAAATGTGGAAACAACCTAAGTGTCCATCAGTGGATGAATGTATAAAGAAAATAATGGTATACATATACAATGGAATATTATTCAGCCTTAAGAAAGAAGGAAATTCTGCCAATTGTGACAACACGGATGAACCTGGAGTACATTATGCTAAGTGAAATAAGCTCTTATATATATATATATATATATATATATATATATATATATATATATATGGAATCTTAAAAAAAAAAGTCAAACTTAGAGTGTGTAATGGTGATTACCAGCGGCTGGGGGGTAGGGGAAGAGGGGAGATATTGATCAAAGGGTAGAAACTTTCAGTTATACGATGAATAAGTTGTGGAAACCTAATGTATAGCATGGTGATTGTGGTTAATAATAAAGTATACTTGAAATTTCCTAAGGGAATAGATCTTAAATGTTCTTACAACATACACAAAGAAGTAACTGTGTGGTGATGGATATGTTAATTAGCTTGATTGTGGTAATTATTTCACAGTGTATACATATATCAAAACATCATGTCGTATACCTTAAATTATTTATTTCTCATACTTCAATAAAGCTGGAAAAAATAGTTGATTTTGACTTCATTAAAATATATTCAAAAGAGATTGTTAAGAAAATGAAAAAGCAAGGCAAAAACTGGTAGAAAATATTTGCAGTACATGTATCCAAACAAGGCTATTTATCCAGAATATGTAAACAACTCTTCCAGTTCAATTATAAGGAGATAACCCAGTAAAAACAAGGGAAAAAGTTTGAACAGATACTTCACCAAAGAAAATACACAGATAGCAGCAAATAAGCAAATTAGAAGATCTTCAACATCTGTCATTTAGAGAAATGCAAATTAAAATTATGAGACATACTTTAGAATTAAAAAGACCGACAATACCTAGTCCTATAGGATGGATGTGGAGCAATTTGATCTCTCATGTATTACTGGTGGGAATGGAAGATGTCACTGCCACTTTGGAAAATGAGTTGACAGCTGCTTGTAAAGTTAAGCATACATTAACCATGTGACCCAGCCATTCTACTGCTGGGTATTTACCCAAAAGTTATGAAAACAGATGTCCACACAAATGTTCAGACCAGCATCATTCCTGGTAGCCTAAAAATGGGAACAACCCAGATATCCATCAACTTGTAAATGCATAAACAGTTTGTGGTATATTCATAGAATGGAATCCTGCTCAGTTTAATAAAAAGGAACAAGCTAATATATGCACCAGCATATAGCAAAACCTTGTGTAAGAATTTCTTATGAATTCTAGAAAAGGCACAACTATAGTGATAGAAGGAAGGTCACTCTTGCCGGAGAGTTGGTAACAGGGAGCTGACTGCAGCTGTCAAGGGGAAACTTTTTGGGGGTGATTGAAATGCTGTATATCATGATTCTGGCGATTGTTACATAATTGTATCCATTTGACAAAATTCATTAGTTAATTTTATTAATTGTGAATTATCCCACAGTAAAGCTATTGAATAAGAAGGAACAAAATTTTTTTTAAATGATCAAACTTCCTTTAAGTTATAGTAGGATTGGAGGGAATAACAGGTTTCATTATTTTTTGAGACTTTCACAAACAAGTGTCTACATGCTTTGGCAGGAAAAAGAGGCCATCAGTAAGATGGTTGATATCTAACTTCACTCATCAGTTAAAAATAACAAAAATTATATTCAGAGAAAAAGTAGTGATTTTGCTTAATGAAAAGTAGTTGATATTATATTTAATAAATCAAATGTTTAAGTTTTTAGCTTCATATTAACTATTATCATCATTTTAATTCATTTTAGAAATATAAACCTGGTCGATGTGATGATATTTTGAAATGGAAGCCTCCCAGTTTGAATTCTGTGGATTTTCGCCTAAAGATAACAAGAATGGGAGGAGAAGGGTAAGTATGCCCCTTTGTTTCCCCATGATTTTTACATGAAATAATACCGTTTGCATAAGGCTTCACTGTTTACTGGGTATTTTACATATACTTTACAAAAAGAAAGTAAAGTACTTTTACGTATACTTTATGTATGTACCCATAAATCTATCTCATTTTCCCAGATTACTTCTTTGACCTATCACAGCTAACATGTTGGTAGCATCCTTTAAACTTCATTAATTTTAGTCTTAAAAGAAAGTTATTTCTAATATAAAAAAATGAACTTTGTTTAATTGTAAAAGTGAAAATACATTTTACTTGAAAGTAATCCTGTTCAGTGAATTACAAATGTAAGATATGATCATTAATATTATAATTAAATGTTTTGAAACAAACCTTTTTTCCTTTGAAGGAAACTACTTCATGTTTGCATTTGGATAGCAAACACTTATCTATACTTTTTTAGGGTAGGGTTTTAATTGTGGAATTACATTACAATTTTTCATTATGTTCATTGTGTTAATTTTTTCATTTATTGGTTAATCTTCATTTTTGACTTCATTGATTGCTATTTTAGAGTAAAAAATGCTTTAGCTATTTTAGAGTAAAAAATGCTTTAGCATGAATATTTTCATTGTTTTCCCAAAGCCTTGTTTAATTTTACCTTGTTCCACAATTTTTTATGGCATCTCATATAAGTAAATACATAACAACAAAACAAGAAATGTTTAATCAAGAAAATCATAAAGAGAACATAAATAAGATAACGCTGGCAGAGAGGTTAAAAGTGTACCAATGCATACCATAAAATTCTTTTTACTTGCCAAAGATAAACCACAGGTTTATTTTTTTGTAGCTAATGGAATGAAGGATATACGATGAGTTATATGAATCCAGATTCCAGAAGATTAAGTCTCTTAAGAGACTGTATATTTTCAAATAAAGGTACTGTGTAGTGTGGTGAATCCTAACTAAAAAAAGAATTTTATTAAGTCATATGGGTATCAGTTTTCAAAAAATAGAGTAGTTAGTATTTTACATCCTTAAATAAGAGTTTGTGACTTAATAGCAAAGTACAGTTTAGCCAGAACAATTATCTGGGGCCCCAAATAGTGTTGTTTAGGTATTTCACTGTCTATTGGCCTGGTTTAATCCAAGGATAGATAGATAACTTTTGACTGTAGGATTGGATAGAATATGTATATTCTATAGAATAATATAAAAGATTAGATAAGAGAAATAATATTGGCAATCTAGAATATCTGTATGCCAGATACTTTGTCAGGAAGAATAATCTTTAGTTTCCTGCTTATCAATACTTATCCAAAAATATTATTTCTCTAATTTAATCTTAGCTATGCATTGGTATTAACATTAATATCAATTAATTTTTTATTAATCATTAACCAACATTATCAATATTATATTATTATAACACTATTAACTACTAATAATATGAATAATTAAATATTATTAATCAATATTTTTTTGAAACTGCCCCCAAACACATTCCCCCTCCCCCCCATATATATAAAATATCTTTGGATAAATATTGCTAAGTAGTAAGCTCAAGATTATTCTTCCTGACAAAGTGTTGTGTATACAGATATTCTGGGTTGCTGGTTCACTTTGGAACTTCTACATCAGAAGTCATGCAAGCTGAGTGTAGGCTTATATGTTTTTCTGGAAGGGGCTTAGAGAAGACCACCACTCTTCTAAACAGTGGCAGCAGAGGGATTACTTCAGATGGTGCCGCCTGCATCTTCTTCTTTTTTTAATTCTTAAAAGTCACAGGTGAATATGGTTCTTTGGAAGTAAGGCTTCAAAGGTGAACTAAAATTTGTTAAATTGCCTCATTACTAAATCTTTTATTTTGCCTAAATGCTGTGTATTTATAATATTAGTTAAGGAGTATAAACCCTTGTGTGTTTCTGTTGATTGTTTCATTGAGTTTTGAAAGGTGATTTTGCTTTGCTTTTTACAAATTGTAATTCTTAGCAACACTTAAAAGCTACATGAGGCTAAATGTAGCATGTCCATTTTTCTGTGTTAGAAATGATATTATTAATTTTTTCCTTCCATTTGTCCATTGCAATTAAATATAGCAAAGTGTAATTCAGGTTAGTAGTTTGTCATTTGCTTTTATTCTTAGTATGTTTTAAAATATATATATATTTAAAAATTTTACCTATTTGAATGTCTTTTTATTAAAAAAATGAATTATTTTTGATTCTAGTCCTCTTTAAAACACACCACAATGTCAGCATTTAAGGTGATTTTTTTGGATAGCAATATGCAAGTTACATTGGTGTAGGTACATGATTTATTTATGTAACATGGGTGTCAGTTTTCAAAAATGGGGTATTTAATATGAAATATAAAATGATAATTATGACAAAATACATATTATTCAGTTAGCTGGAGTAATATAATTTTTTTCATGGAGAGAATGTTATGTATTATAGCAGTTTTCATGAAATAAATGAGTTTATATCTAACACTTATGTTAGATGCAGTATGTTAGAGAGCATTATGAGAAGTATGCCTGTAATAGTTTGAAAGGAGAGTAGCTATGTCTCTGAATCATAAGAATTGTAGCATGTGATTAGTGAAGTGGGGCTAAGATACTAAAATACCATGAGACGTGATACTATACATAGAGAATCCTAAAGATGCTACCAGAAAACTACTAGAGCTAATCAATGAATTTGGTAAAGTAGCAGGATACAAAATTAATGCACAGAAATCTCTTGCATTCCTATACACTAATGATGAAAAATCTGAAAGTGAAATTAAGAAAACACTCCCATTTACCATTGCGACAAAAAGAATAAAATATCTAGGAATAAACCTACCTAAGGAGACAAAAGTTTTCTGTATGCAGAAAGCTATAAGACACTGATGAAAGAAATTAAAGAGGATACAAACAGATGGAGAGATATACCATGTTCTTGGATTGGAAGAGTCAACATTGTGTAACTGACTCTACTACCCAAAGCAATCTACAGATTCATCGCAATCCCTATCAAACTACCAATGGCATTTTTCACAGAACTAGAACAAAAAATTTCACAATTTGTATGGAAACACAAAAGACCCCAAATAGCCAAAGCAATCTTGAGAAAGAAAAACGGAGCTGGAGGAATCAGGCTCCCTGACTTCAGACTATACTACAAAGCTACAGTAATCAAGACAGTATGGTACTGGCACAAAAACAGAAATATAGATCAATGGAACAGGGTAGGAAGCCCAGAGATAAACCCACACACATATGGTCACCTTATCTTTGATAAAAGAGGCAAGAATATACAGTGGGGAAAAGACAGCCTCTTCAATAAGTGGTGCTGGGAAACAGACAGCTACATGTAAAAGAATGAAATTAGAATACTCCCTAACACCGTACACAAAAATAAACTCAAAGTGGATTAAACACCTAAATGTAAGGCCAGACACTATTAAACTCTGAGAGGAAAACATAGAACATTCTATGACATAAATCACAGCAAGATCCTTTTTGACCCACCTCCTAGTGAAATGGAAATAACAAAAATCAACAAATGGGATCTAATGAAAGTTAAAAGCTTTTGCACAGCAAAGAAAACCATAAACAAGATGGAAAGACAACCCTCAGAATGGGAGAAAATATTTGCAAATGAAGCAACTGACAAAGGATTAATCTCCAAAATTTACATGCAGTTCATGCAGCTCAATATCAAAAAAACAAACAACCCAATCCAAAAATGGGCAGAAGACCTAAATAGACCTTCTCCAACGAAGATATGCAGATTACCAACAAACACATGAAAGAATACTCAACATCATTAATCATTAGAGAAATGCAAATCAAAACTACAATGAGATATTATCTTACACCAGTCAGAATGGCCATCATCAAAAAATCTACAAAGAATAAATGCTGGAGAGGATGTGGAGAAAAGGGAACCCTCTTGCACTGTTGGTGGGAATGTAAATTGATACAGCCACTATGGAGAACAGTATGGAGGTTCCTTAAAAAACTAAAAATAGAACTATCATATGACCCAGCCATCCCACTACTGGGCATATACCCTAAGAGAACCATAATTCAAAAAGAGTCATGTACCACAATGTTCACTGCAGCTCTCTTTACAATAGCCAGGACATGGAAGCAACCTCAGTGTCCATCAACAGATGAATGGATAAAGAAGATGTGGCGCATATATACAGTGGAATATTACTCAGCCATAAAAAGCAACAAAATTGAGTTATTTGTAGTGAGGTGGATGGACCTAGAGTCTGTCATACAGAGTGAAGTAAGTCAGAAAGAGAAAAACTAATACCGTATGCTAACACATATATATGGAATCTAAAAAAAAAAGGTCATGAAGAACCTGGGGCAAGACGGCAATAAAGACGCAGACCTACTAGAGAATGGACTTGAGGACGTGGGGAGGCGGAAGGGTAAGCTGGGACAAAGTGAGAGAGAGGCATGGACATATATACACTACCAAATGTAAAATAGATAGCTAGTGGGAAGCAGCCTCATAGCACAGGGAGATCAGCTCGGTGCTTTGTGACCACCTAGAGGGGTGGGATATGGAGGGCGGGAGGGAGGGAGATGCAAGAGGGAGGAGATATGGGGATATATGTATATGTATAACTGATTCACTTTGTTATAAAGCAGAAACTAACACACCATTGTAAAGCAATTATACTCCATTAAATATCTTAAAAAAAAGAAAAGAAAAAGAAAACCATGAGACAAATTAATTTCTTTTCTTGATTGTGTTCCTAATATTTCTACAAAGCTTAGTATGGAGTGGAATGTCTTGAAAGGTATAATGTAAATACCAATCTTTGAAAATGTCTGCAATGAATTTTTTTTATGATGTCTTAGGTTTTCAAAGTATGGTTTTGAATCTCCCTTAGCTGCTGTAATAAAGTGGTTATAGTATAGATTCTTGTTAGATTAAAATTTAATGCAAATAGAAAAATCTATTAACTGTCCTGTTGATGGCATTTAAAATCTAAACTTTGCT